CAGTACGTACGTATGCTTCCTTTCCAATACGTACGTATCCTTCTCAGTACGTACGTATCCATTGCACCTCCCCTCCCTCTTAATTGCAAGCACAAAAAGAAGCAGCAACAAGCAGCAATCAATAATCAGCAACCAGCAAGAACCACAAGCAGCAGCACCCTCTTCGACAGAAACACAACAAATCTGCACCCTCCGACGACAACAAAACAACAAATCTTCACCCTGCTCTGTTGCAAGCTTGAAACTGAAGATGAAGCCCCCACCGCGATATGATATACCCAAGTTGGATGCTGAAGAACTTCTTGATATGGTTGAGCATCATTGCGACATTCAGCCTTTACCTACCCATATGTCCTCCCACATGATTTGATGAATTTTGTTTGTCCATGTGGAGCATGGTTCACTCTGAATGAAGCTAAAGATGCCCGCAGTCATGTCCAAAACTGTGCTATTTTTGAACGCAACAAGGACGAGCCAGGGTTGAAAATACATTGAGGGTCATGAGATGTTCCAAGAACAGATGTTGGACGAAGCAGCATATGATGATCTGATTATAGTGCCAAAGGTTCTAACCTATCAGAGAAAAATGCACTTAATTTTGCACAAAGAAATTGGTAGTTATGCCTGTGTCTGTGGAAAGTGTTTCAAGTTGGTAGATTTACATCTCCATTACAGGAACCGACAATGTGAACATTTTAATGACATCTTTCCAAAATTGTATCCATGTTCGGGCATCAATGCAAACTCAAAACAGAGCAATGGCATGGTTCCTGATTTTTTGAAAGCTCAGAATTTTTTCTCTGCAGTTGCACAAGTGCCTTCCACAAGAAAGGTATCTATAGATGRCCTTGATGAGAGAGATCCCAATGAGAGGAGTCCTTTTCGCAAGACAGATGTTTTTGGTAATGGAAATATGCTACTCTTTATTCCAAAGAAAGAGATGCCACTCTGGTTCAAGGAAGCGATGACTGTCTGCATCAAGCTGCATGCTGGTATATGTAGGAACTGGGAAAAGATGACAAATATGATTGCTGAGAATGGGACAATGAGTCGCAAGTGGCAGGCAACTTTGATTCAATCGCGTCGGTATGAGGTTATTCTTGACTTTGATTTGAGTAAAATCTCCAAAACCAAGACATGGATTGACTTCAAAAAGTGGTCATGCCTGAATATGAAAGAGCTCCAAACATTATTGAATTATGTGAAAAAGATATCCAGAGAGGAGCTACAGTTGTGTGAGGAAGAGTGGGATCTAAGTACACCTAGTTTTATTTTCACGACATCAAGAGATGACCAGACTCCTCACTTAGATGTGTTGGATGCCAGGAAGCAAGTTCAGTTTGGAATGGTTCTTACACCTGCTGGAGTAGTTTCTACAAAGGTGTTCCAGCCAGAGCAAGAGGAGAAAGTTGGACTAAAAAAAGCACTCAAATTGCTGAAGAGAGGAACGAAAGAAATGGGTAATAAATTGGAATGGACTGAACCCTCTGATGATTTCATCAACAAGCTGTTGCAAATACCAGGCATGATTGAGGAGTTTGATGAAAAGTTGAAGGGTGGACTTGGTCAGTTGTTTCGTGTGATTCACAAAGATGATGGTCCTGAAAGATTATATACAATACCGTATGTGTAATATGAAATATGAAGCATCGATGCTCGTTCGTACGAAAGCCCGATTTCATCACTCCATGCTTTTTGTTAGCATTTTTATGGTGATATCCGACCATGGTTTGAACGATCATTGGTGGTGATTTCCGACCATGGTTCGAACGATCATTGGTGCTTCATTTGCTATTTGTTACATCGCACGCCACAACCAGCAATGAGTTGTATAAGCTGGCATCTCATTCCCGTAACTTTATTGTTTCTTATACAGTAGTTCAAAACCTTACTGGGGCTACGACTAAAAAGATGAGTATACCATGTTTCTTCAAAATCCAACCCCCCAGACCCCCCCCTTCCGCTGAAGCGAAAAAATTACAGTCAAAACTGTTTTTAGTCTTTTTTCTTTAATGTTTCAACTTCCATGATTGGTCACAAAACTTGAATAAAAACACCAAAACTCAAACTGAAATTTCAGGTTTTTTTTTCTAGCGATCGAAAACCCAAAACCCGATCAGTTCTCAAAACAACGAATAACTTGATGCGACTGGTGTATTGTTGTTGTATCACAGTGATTGTTGCTAAAGAAAAAGAAAAAAAAGAGCTCATTAAAAAAAATGTCTTTTATGATTTCGATTACAGGATTCTTAAAAGGTTTTCAAAGGTTCGTCAAAGCGCTCAAAGAGAGAAAAGAAAACATGGTGCAAGCAAGAAAGGACAAGGACGGGGATGTTGTGATGGATTACACTGATACGGATTCCGACGTTGTAATGGGTTACACTGAAACCGATTCCAACGTTGTGATGGGTTACACTGAAACCGATTCCGACGTTGTGATGGGTTACACTGATGCGGATTCCGACGTTGTAATTGGTTACACTGAAACCGATTCTGACGTTGTGATGGGTTACACTGAATGCAAGATCTGTGTGGAGATGGGAAAGGAGATGGTGACGATTGTGATTGTGATTCCAATTCCAATGGCGGAGATGGGAAAGGAGATGGTGATGATTGTGATTCTGATTGTGACTGTGATTCCGATGGCGGAGATGGGAAAGGAGACGGTGATGATCATGATTGTGATTGTGATTCCGATTCCGATGGCAGAGATGGGAAAGGAGACGGTGACGATTGTGATTGTGATTGTGATTCCGGTTCCAATGGCGGAGATGGGGAAGGAGACAGCAACAATTTCAGTATCATCCCAGATGATGAGACTGTTGAGGATGAAGCTTTGAACACTGTGGAGGAGGGGGAGGAAGAAGGGGAGGATCAAGTTGTCATCACTGCTGATGATGCAGAAGGAATCATCCTAGATGACGACACTGTTGAGGACAGAGCTGTGAAAACTGTGAGGGGGGAGGAAGGGGTCATCGCTGTTGGGATTGAGGTGGAAGTGTATGGATCCTTTTCTGCAAATGGAAAGAGGAGGTCAAGACGTCTTATGTTTTCATCATCTGCTGATGAAGTGCTTGGTTCTTACTGTGATTGTGCAAGTGGTGGTCAAAGGAGGTCTGCGCTTATTCGTGCTCGCGCTATGGGGTTGGGACCATTTGGGGGGGGGGAGGGGCATCATCTGCCATTTTGAATTTGTTCAAGTTTTTACTGACCATATCTGAGTCTTTTCTTGTAACAAATTGATTTGGTGGATCCCCCTGAATGGGGTGGGGAATTTTTCATGCTGTGGTGGGGACTTAGCAATAGGAGCTGGAGTTTGTTCAGGCAACTTTTTTGAGTGGTGATTGTTGGTCATTCACGTGTGGTAATCGTAAGTATGGCGGTCAGTCTTCGTTGGTGGTTGTCAGTCTTCGTTGGTGGTTAGTTGTCTTTGTTGGTGGTTGGTTGTGTTGGCACATTATTTCTTGAAGCAGTTGGTTAGTCTACGTTGGTGTTTTCAACTTTAGGATGTTGCACACGGGGTTTCAATGGTGGTCCAAATCATGTAGGTAGGAGGTACTTCTGTTGAAGTGCGTACGACTGCATTGTGCAGGTTTGGACTGTATCCATTGATTCCTTTTCCTCTTGCACAGAGGACATCTGCAAAAAGTACACATCAAGCCTGGTGAATGCATAGGAATGTACTGTTATGGCCTAGGGGCCGGTTCATTTCACCCTCCCTCTTCCTGCTGAGGAATCTTTTCTCATGTGCGAGCTAAGATTTCCATGGACAACAGCCTGGAATGATGGATTCACTGGGTGTGTACTGTACGTGTTTGTACGTCTTTTCTGTTGGTTGGACTACGGTTGGGTGCTATCAGTCATCGTTGGAGGTTTGGTGTGTCTTCGTTGGGGCTTCAACAATTATGTGCTAACAATTGGGTGCTTTTGGATCATGCTCAATCAAATTTTGTCTTGATCGAACTCCTCTGCTTTTTGCATTTTATGTAAATCAATGTTGTATAATAGAGATATAAAGTAGTTGATTTTTGTGTTTGGGTCAAAAGACGTTCAGGTTGTGGGATACTCAGCTGTTCCAGTCACTTATTCTATTTTCGTCCAATCCACTTTGATGGAAACTAGCTGCTCAGCTGGACCCATGCCCCAGTTCTTACGGACCATAAGAAGATTCCGGTCACGGTGATGTTGTTTCCGACATTTTTACAGGACAGCAACAACAACAACAACCCCAGGCCCCAGTAACAACACCTGGAGTATATGCTACATACCACTCAATTTAAAAGGAGATTCACCAGCATCTCCATGCAGTTCCAGTATTATTTATCGACCGGAAGATGATTCCGGTCATGATGTTGTTGTTTCCAACAAAACAACAACAATCCAAGATCCAACAGTACTATTGTATTTTATTGTATTGTATTGTATTGAGAAAATCTGAATGCTGTTGTGTACGTATTGTGTTGTAATCTATTACCGTTATTGGTTTGGACTATACAATTTTGCGCCCGAGATTGACCCGTTCTGCCAGGCTAGGGCCGCCAACTCCTCCATCGTTTCGCAATCCGTGGTCCGCCGCCTCCACTTCCGGAGTCACGACTATTTCCTGTTTCTGTGGTGTCCCGGCGGTGATTTTCGGCGCGGCGGCGGCGAGGGTCGCGGCCTTTTGGTTTTCCATGCTTCCCCATCGTGATTTCCCGGCCGCCGCCGCGGCGGCCACCCTGGCGTTGCGTAGGTCGTAAGCGGATGGCGCAGCGCTGGCGACCGTGGCCAGCCCGTCTGAGGCCCCAACTGCCTCGCTTCCCGAGAACAGCTGCTGGCCGAGGTTCACCCGGTCGGCGAGGGAGGGTCCTCCGACGCCCCCGTCGTTGCGCAGGCCGTGGTCCGCTTCCTCGATGACGGCGTTGCTGACGGCCGGAGCCGCCGGAGCGGCAGCGGGGGCCGCTGGTGGCTCGGGAGCAGCGGACGACAGGGCGGGCTTCTTGGAGGCTTCCTCCGTGGCTTTTTTCACTTCCGCGTCGCCCCATCGCGACTTGCCGGCCTTTCCGGCTGCCGCAACCTGCTCGTTCCGCCCCTCGAACAGGGTGTTTCCGGGGAGCTGGGTGGGTGGCGGAACCGACACCGATGCCCCGTTGGCCTTTGCCTCGGCCTTGACTTCCACGACGGCATCCTTCGAGCTTATCTGGACCTTTGCCACCTCCTTGTCTCCCCAGCGGGATTTCCCGGCCTTGGCCGCCGCGGCAACGTTTGCACTGCGGGTGTCGTACAGCTTGGTGGCCGCGGACGGGGCGGTCGTTTCCGCCGTTGTCGCGGGGGCGGCACCGGAACCCGCCGCTCCGAGCAGGAGCTTTATTTTCGCCTCGTACTTTTGCGCGGTGGCCAGTTCCGCCGCTTGCACCGCCTTGAGCTTTTGCTGCTGGGCCTTCACGATGTAATCCGCCATGAATTGCTGGTATTCGACCAGCTTGGCCATGAGCTGTTCCTTCGTCATGCTGCTCAGGTCCATGCCGGAAGAGGGCGGTGGACCGGTCGAAACGACCACCGCGCTTTCCTTTGGAATCGCTTCCTTCAGCTTTTTGACCTCGCCCTTGAGCGTCTGCAATCAAAACGATTTGGTTTCGAATCAATCAATCATTGGGTTGTTGAGCTCTTTGCGAATTAACGATAGTTTGCATCCATGCATTCATTGATCCATGCACTGCTTCGAACGCGACGCGATTTGCGACCAACGCTTTGCTCGCTGGCTGACCCCTCCTCGCTGCACCTGGCGTTCGCGCGGTTGCTTCGATGGGGTTTGCGCTGTTGTACACCGCGCCGGGGTTGGGTTGGGATGGGTTGCGTTGCGTTGCGTTACGTTACGTACCTGGATCTCCGCGTTCTTTGTTTTCTCGACGGCCGTGACCGCTCGGATCTTCTCCTCGTGCGCCTTGGCCATGTAATTCGTCAGGTCTTCGGGGGTCAAGTGAAGTGCGGCCGGGCCTCTGTAGGCACCGGTTGGGTTTGTTGTCTGCGTGAAGGAACGGACCTCCGGGGGAGCCGTTGCTGCCAAAAATGCCGCGAAGGCCGTGATTGTGAATCTCATGGTGCGTGTGTGTTTTGTGTTGTGTGTCGAACGGTATGTATGAATGTATGTATTTGTTTGGGATTGTAGTTTCGGTGAGGCGAGGACGTAGGAAAGCAAGTTTGCTGTTTCGGGGCTGGGTTGTTGGTTGCGCACGGGTATTGGAGCCAGAAAAGAGGGCTTCGGTGTGACGGAACGCGCTGCTTGTTTTCAACCGCCGGTGTTGTTCTGATTCGGTGCTAGAAATCTCGTCGTTTCGGGACGGATGTGTGAGTTGCTTGTAATCTGACTGTTTGTCGTTGTCTTAGACCTACAAACAAGGATCGCAATCTTGTTTTCGGTGCGTGTCTCTGGGATGCTTGGATTTCTTCTGTCTTTCTTATTTCCTAAGATGGGCAGGAGCGTGAATAACAGTGCGTATTACACGTAACAATCGACGATGGTGATGATTCGTCGAGCCTACGACCAACTTCAATGGTTTTTTTTTTACGGTTTCCCGTAGGAGATTGGTACCCGTAATGGTACACAGCTTCTCCATCAACTGCATTTTCTTTATTGACTCCGGTAGTTGCGGCCTTCGAACCCATCGGTGGAAAAGTTCTCCACCAATCATGATGGATTGTGGGGTGTGTGACAACTAGGGAGGTAACGTAAACCCGCAGACAACGTTTCTTCTCCGTTCGCTAAAAACTTGGGCAACCGAAATCCCGTCTGTTCTTCGTCCATCCCGCTCCCACGGGGAACGGGTATCATGTATCATGGGAGCACAACATACCTGGTATCATACCTTATCATACATATGATCACAACCACAACAGGATCCACCCGAGAGCACTCGTACGTACGAGTACTACCGGTAGGTACGAACTCTTCCGCGCAGTAGCATTGTACCGTACAGTACGGTACTGTGCTGCGCTGCGCACGATTGCGAGTAAAAAAATACTCGCGCGCAACGCTTTGCGTCGTGATCCGTACGTGGGTACCGTACATGATTTATTTCGGATCGAAGCAGCCGCTAGCGGTAGGTATTGTTATACCGTTCGAACCGTATTGGGCCCCCGCCGCAGTCCATCACAAAACGATAACAGAAGGATCGCGCCGAGGCAACTGCGGTACGCCTTTGGCACCACCACAACACCGTTGCCACCCGATCCGAATCGAGCACAATCGATAGTTCGATATCCTACCATGTCCACCCCGAACTCCCGCCCCGTCCACCCCTGCGTCCTCTCCGTCTTCGAGGGAACGACGGGGGTCGAATATTCCACATGGGCCAGGGTGACGGACCAGAGCCTCGAAGACGGCAGCGCCGGCAGGGGAATGCCCGATCTGGTGACGGCCCATGCGTCATCGCTGTCCATTTACAGGATAGACGAATCGACGGGCAAGATGCTCCTCGTGCACACGTATTCAAACATGGCCGGAAACGTTTGCTTCCTGGAGACGCTGCGTGTCAACGATTGGGAAGACGGGGACGGGGACCCGGAGGACGACCGGGCGGGGCTTTCCGGAGACGGCGGCGGCGAGGGACCGAAGGGGACATCGCCGACGAACCAACGTCAACGCAGAACAACCCCGAGCAGCCACAAGAGACGGAGACGACGCCCGGATGCTCTGCTGGTAGGGTTCTGTGGTCACCCCCGGTTGGCCATCGTCCACGTCCAGCCGGATTTGTTGCTGGCCACTACGCTCCTCGATCTGACCCCCGCCATTACGGACTGCGCGTACGGGGCGATAACTCCGCTGGAGCACGACATGACGGCCAGCTTGTTCCAGAGAGACGAAACGTCGTCCCACCACCACCAGGCGACGGTCTCGGTGGTTCTGGGAGGCGGGATCTCGGTCGTCTGCCTGGAACTCCGGTACCATTCGTCGACGGGGGGCTGGAGGGCCGTAGAAGAGCCCTACGTCCTCCCGCTCTCCACGCTGGCGCGGGCCATCGACCGAAAGACGACCCAGTCCGGTGCCGGCGGCCAGCAACGGACCAATTCGCGAAACAACAACAGGGGCGATGCAAGCAATGCCCTGCTCACCCAGTCGATCGTCACCGGCTTTGGAGACATCCTGGGAACGGCCTTTTTGCCCGGGTACATGGAGCCCACCATGGTCGTGCTGCACTCCAATCCGAACGTGGGGCGGGTATGCCCGGGCCGCCTGGGGAGAGACACGGAGGGCGGCAAGGGTGGAACCCGCTACTCGCTGGTCCTGACGGCCGTCACCGTTACGGTGACCCACCAGCGGTCGGCCTTGCTCTGGTCCACCGAGGTCCCCGCCGATGCCCTGTCCGTCTACACGTGCCCGCTCGATGCCCCTTCCGGCGAGAACGAGAGCCGGGGAGGCGCCGGCGGCACGGCGGCGTGCCTGGTCCACTGCGTCAATTCCGTCGTCTGGGTTTCCAACACGGGGCAGATCCAGCAGTGCCTGGCGGTCAACGGTTGGGTGTCCTCGACGCTCTCGACCGCCTACAACAGCATCGTCACGGCCAATCAGTGGCCCTTTCCGAAGCTCTCCGTCCAGCTCGACGGGGCGCGATTCACCCCACTCGACGCGACCACGTGGTTCGTGGTCTTGCGCCGGGGGCAGGTCTACCTGCTACAGCGGGACAAGGACCTCGATTCCGGCCGCTGGTCCTTCATGCCCCTCTACCAGACCGTGGGGGCCGTTGGAGAATGCTCCGGCCTGAGCTGCTGCCCCATGGGCGTGTACTCCGCTCTGTCGGCGACGAAGGACAAGGGCCTGTTTTATTCGCCGCCAAAGGCCGGCGAAGCGGAGCAGCAGCTGCACGACATTGGCCTCTTGTTCGTGGCAAGCCGGCTTGGAGACTCGTCTCTGCTCGGGTACGCACTGGGAAAGACGTCCGTGGCCGAGGCCCTCAAAACCGAGCCGGGTCTGGGGGATCCGGGCGAAACCGTCAAAACGGAGCAAACGATCCGACCGAGAAACGGAACCAACGAATCCGATGCCAACTCTCCCAAGACGGAAGCAACCGCGGAGGACGGTGGCACCCCGGTGGGAGACGACGACTACGAGCGCATCCTGCAACTGGAAGAAGAGGCACTCTACGGCAATGCCACTACGTCGGACGGGAACGTCGGGAAGCCCGATTTGGTTCCACCCAGCGACGACGATGACGACGACGAGAATGGTTCCGCAAGAAGCAATTCCCGGCAATCGGGGAGAAAACGCGCTCGCTTCAGCAACCTGCTCGTGGTTCGGACGCTCCACGTGCTCGATTCGCTGACGGCACTGGGGCCCCTGGGCCCGGCGTGCTCGGGACCGCTTTCCTCCAGCCCGGAGGTGGCGATCGACCCAACCATGTCGACGAGCAACACGACGTCCTCCGTAGCAACCACGGGACACGTGTTCCCCTGCGGATACGGATCGAGTGGAGGAATAGCTCTCTTGTCCATCCCGGGGCGAGACGATCGAAACCTCTTGGCGGAGGCCGATTGTGTCAACGCAAAGGCTCTCTTTAGCCTGCCGCGGCGCGGCCTGGTGCTCATGGCCATGCTTCCAGAAGACGGAGGGACGAAGGTCTTCCGGATCGGGGCAGCCGATTCTGCAACGAAGGGAGGTCTGGAAGAGATCGACCTCGCCGACTGGTGCCCGAGCGAGGACACCCGTGACTTTTTTACCACTTGCCACCTGCTCGCGGCTTCCGATCTGACGGAAGACTCTTTCCTGGTTCTGGCGGCCTCGCCGAACGACGAGAACTCAAAGTCGTACTTCGTGATCACCCTCCGGGAGCAGCAGCAGCAAGGCCAATCCACCACCACAATCCGTATGGCGGCCGCGTATCAGCTGGACATTCCCCAGTCCGAAATCATCACAAGAGCAAAGACCGTGGAAGACCGAGAATCGGGACAGGTATTCCTTTCGTACACTCTCACTACGGGTGAAGCGAAAGTGGCCGTGATTTCTAGCGATGGCTCTGTGGACACGAAACACTCCTTCCCCTCGATTGAAACTGCCCAGATGGACACTTCGACCGACCTTGAAGAAGACGCCGAGCTCTCGGAAGAGGAAAAGTTCTATGCGGGGAGAACCATCGTGTCGGTAGACATGTTCAAAGCGCCCAGGTCCTTTTTTGTTTCGGAAGCCGCAGGAGACCCGGAGAAAAACGAGGACACAATTGTATCCGATCAAGAAATGGAGGATGGCAACCATTTGGCGGAAGCCGAGGGTGATGACTATTTGGACGAAGACGATAGGGATTTGTACTACCAAGGCACTCCAACCGATGGCGGCAGCGAGAAAAAGAAAGAAAGCGACGACAATGGATGCGACGAGGCGATGACATCGGATGAGAGCGATGTCTGGTATTTTGCGACCAGTCGACAATCCGGAGAACTCGATGTTTTCCTCTTTTCGGACTTGGAAACACCCGTATGGTCCTGCATCGGATTTGGGCACGGTGCACCGTCGCTCGATACACACGACCCGTCCTCCTTCAGGAATCCAATAGGGCACAAGGTCTGCACCCGAGAAATCAAGTTTTTCTTTTGTGGTCCATCGTCCGATGAGTGGAAAAACAGACAGGGCCTGGTGGGGCCGAGACCCTTCTGCGTGATGCTCGAAACGAACGACGGTGACGTTCAAATATACGAGGCAAAGATTCATCACAGGTCGCTGAAGTTGCTATCGTTCCGAAGAATTCCTCTAAAAGATGTATCGAGGCAAAGCCAGGAATCCACCAAGCATTTTTCAAAACTGCGTCGCAAGAAAATTGTATCCGCCAAAGATGCTACTGAATCGTCAGGTGACTTTCAGTACAATCGTTTGTTTCCCTTCCGTGACATATCCGGGCAAGATGGGGTTTTTGCATTGGTGACTCGGCCGTTTTGGCTTGTTGCAGAGAGGGGAAGACCCACGGTTCTTCATCACCGCTGCAAACACGTTGCACCAACCGGAGCCAAACCTAGGCCCATCACCGGTTTCTGTTCTGGTTTAAAGTTTTCAAACAGTGACCAAAACAATTTTGTAACCCTCCACGAACGAGTTGGTCGGGTTGGGAGTCAACGAATGACCCTCTTTGACGGAATTCTGAACCTGGCGTCCAAGAACAGCCTCCTTCCCGGAGGAGGAATGTTCGTTGAGAAAATCCCTTTCGGTGTAACTGTGAGAAAGATTCAATTCATTGATGATGATCACGCTTCGACTGGATCACGTCCACTATATGCTGTTCTGGTTTCGAGAGAATACGAAGCCGACTTGAGTGAACTCAACGACGATGGAATGACCGACGAAGAGCGCCAGCGGCTAGCAGAAGAAAAGGAAAGCGCAAAGATTCAGCGACAAGTCGAGGCAGATCTTGGTGGATTTGACGTCGAACAAGAATGGGTAGAAGAAATCGAGCGAGAAAATTGTTTCAAAATCAATCGAAACCTTGGAGGAGCTCCACCGGTGCCTTCGAGCGCTTATTCCTTGTGGATTGTCGATGTGGCCAATGGATGGCAGGTTATTGACTCGTATGAACTAGAAGAATGCGAGCACGGAACATCGATGGAAGTGATGACGCTCACTAAATTTCTAGCCGAACCCGGGACTGACTACAATACCTCTGAAGAAGAGTTAGAATCGAAACTTTTCATCGCAGTTGGAGCAGGAACTATCAACAAGGACGGAGAGGATGTTGCGTGCAAGGGAAGGGTGTTGCTGTTTGAAGTTACAAGACCCAAAGAGAGCGGTGTGTTGCCAATTGCCGAGCTTAACTTTGTGTACGAAAAGAAAATCTTTCACGGACCTGTAACGACCCTTAGTTGCTTGAACATTGAAGGGAAGAGCCGATTGCTGATTGGTGCTGGAGCCGATATCAACGTGGAACAATGGGGAAACGATAAACTAACACAGGTCGGATTCTTCCGGGCTACCATGCAAGTCCTGGATATCAAACTATTTAAAAACTTCATTGTATTGAGCGACGCATACGACTCCTTGTACTTCCTTGTTTGGAGAGAGTCCGACAAGTCACTCACAATGTTGGCAAAAGATTACGACCCAATTCCAGTATATTGCTCCGGTATCATTAGCAGAGGAGGATCCCTGGATTTTGTTTGTCACGACGATCGTCAAAACTTACAATTTTTCCAGTATGCCCCCGGAGATCCCGCTGCCCGAGGTGGAAATAAGTTGGTCTGTCGTGCCGATTTCCATTTGGGAAGTCAAACGACTGATCTACGAAGTCACTTTTGCCGTTCGAGCCTTCTCATCAATAGCTCTACTCCTTCAAGTGCATTAGCTGCACTGAAACAACAAGATACCTTTTTCGGAAAAGCCGATGACGATCAAAGATTTGCTTTGACCTTTGGAACTACTGATGGTGGGTACCACTCTGTAGTACCCTTAAGTGAGCCTGTGTACTGGCGAATGACAGCACTTCAAAGTGTTTTAGCAAACGCTCTTGAAAGTGATTGTGCATTGAGTCGTCGAGCATGGAGACTTTATCGACGTTCTTCAAGGAGAGGTGGGTGCCGTAACAACGATCGCAAAAAGGGGGTTATCGATGGCGACCTGGTTATGCAATATACCGATCTTTCAAAAGCCGAGCAAGAAGATCTTGCCAGCGCAATTGGTTCAACTGTTGATTTGATTCTTGACAATCTACTGGAGCTTCGATGCTCCACTATGGTCATTTAGCTTATAAGAAAAGCCGGTTTTAGTTTCAGCTCTTTTAAATACCTGGCTTCTATGTTTATATAGTTGTAGTAAGAAACCGAGTCGCTTGTGGGGTGGGGGTAGCAGAGCCGTATGGAAGGAACGGTTGTACGGTAGATGAGACATAAATCAAAAAATGATTCGAGTAGAAAATGGTAGCACCGTACGATAGTTCTTACAAAGTACTGTACGATAGAGTACGGTACTCGTACTCGTACGTACGAGTACTCGTAGTTCATAGACAAAAAAATAGTCGTTCTACATGTACCGGTACGAAGAGGTCATATGGTACGTACGTACGGTACTTATGCAACAAAGCATTGGCGCCAATCGCAAATACGCAATACAATCAGATGAACGTAGTACGAGTAAACTGAGGTTTTTGCACGTAATTTTCAAAAACAGTCGAAGTAGTCCGTCGAAAGATCCTGTTCTCTGTTTTCTACAGTGGTTCATCTGCCTCATGCCGGTAGTTTTAGGGTCTCGATTTTTAGGTTTCCATTTTGCCTGGTCAATCTTCAAAGCTTTCCTGTGTCAATGAATCAATGAATATCTACCGTACATCGTATTCTATGCCAATTACGAATATGAAACTATGAGCAATTTCACAACGAATGAAGAAGACCAGAGGGAAGCAGCAAAACTACAAGCGCGTCTAAGAAATGCCGCTAGCGACGATGATGGAAACGGCAACAATGGAGAGATTGATAGCGCAGCGACCTATCATCCAATCCCAAACGTGACGATGGCAGAGGGGAAACACAAATATGTCTTGATGTCGGCTGTGCTTCCGAATTCCAGCGAACGGCAGAATTTTGTTGTCAGCAGTGCATTTGCTTCGTATCATCGAGATGCTGCTGAACCAATGGTTGCAGCTTTGGAAAGTAGCGGGTACAAATCAGTAGCTATAACTGGAGGTGGACGTATCTCTTTGGACACGAATAAGCGGAGCATATCTGTGTATGGATTCAGTTACGGTTTTGGTCTAGCAGATCACGCCCTTAGTGTCTCTGTGATTAAGAACGACGAAAGATACAAAGATTTCGACGTTACGTGGTCGAATGAGGGATATTAATGAGTACAGTAACAAAATATGGTTTGGAACGTGAGAAGTGCGTCGCAATGCTACCACTTTGATATCTGCGTCCAACTGGCTAGAATTAGCTACTCCTCGAACTAAAATCAAAATATATTTTCTAAAGGAAGCAAACCTTCGACTTTTAATTTGTACCCTATTATTGCAAGGTAGGTGACAAGTATTCAACCCCAGTTGCTTTCTCTTTGCCTTGTCCTGCAACCCCATCCCCTAGTAGTTTGGAAAGTTTTCCAAAGAGATCTACTTGTACACTCTTATCTGTTACTTGAAACATCGAATACTCGATGATAAAACGCAACCGTTGATGCTCGTCATTTGATGGAGCAAAGTGACATATTCTAAGCAACTCTTGACAATATCGAAGCAATGCACGTTGTCCTTCGGATGTATCCGAAAAGGCCCCAAGAACGTGACCCAAACGACTCAGTGTGTTCAACGTTGAGTCTCCTAAATTAGAGCCAATTGTTCCATTACTATCTGAGTTCGATGTTTCAATCTTTCGTTTCAAGTCGGCGTATACCATTTGTAACAACCTGTCTGAAAATCTTGAAAGTTCTGAAGCATTCACTTCAAGGAAAGATGGAGTATTTGCCGGCCCAATCTTATCCATGTATCGGACGATGCATTCAAAAGAGAGTAAAAATGTACGAGGCAGGTTCAAAGTCTCAATTTCGTGCATGATGGATATAAAGAAGCTATTGTCCGAAATAGTTTCCTTCAGATACAATTCGAGGATAAGCAGCAAAAGTCTCCCTTTTCCCCTCTTGATATCTCGATGATGCCTCCAGAGTGCGCGAGCGTAAGATGGAAAGTGCATTTTGCTCAACTGAGACAAATCTGAGTGTGGAATTGGAAGACCCATTTCCTCCAGTTCTTTTGCACAAAAGGATCCAAATGAGCATACTTTTAATGATGAGCTCGGGGCAAACTCGTCTTCATTCAGCACTTCTTCGAGTGCTTCTTGAGGAACCAGGATAGAAGCGACTCGGAGACAGCGGTGCCTCATGGCAAAAGTTATTGTTGCAGGATTGCTACGATTTGTTCCAACAACGATAGAATCAAATGAGGCATTTAGTCCCTTCAAAACACGGTCTCCTGATTTTGATTTGGCAAAAACAACTCGAACAAGATCTCTGGCGTGTTCAAGAACGCTTGTGTGTTGGTCCTCTTTATCTTTCGCCTTCGGTTTTTTCATTCTCGAAAGCAAGCCTCGACGTGGTGTTTTCGTCGGCTTAGTTTTGCGATTTACCTCTGGCTTCCAATTTTCGTTGCCGTCTTCGTTGCTATCATCAGTTAGTGATCGATGATACCCGTCCGCAAAAGCCATTACGAATGCAATACGCAGTGACGAGCGGTGGCTGGCTTCTTCAGACATTTCACGACCGGAAGAGGCCTCGAGACTTGAAGGCTCTTCTTCTGAAGTTAATTTCTTCTTATCGTCAATTGAGCGGGAAGCACCCACACTGAAATTAGAGGCCCAGTCTGATCCTTCTTTAAGAATGGATAGATCCATTTGAAAGTTCATAGTATCATCTTCGTCTATGTCTGGAATGAGGCTGTTGCTTTGAGGAATGACTGGAATCATGAATTTATCTTTTTCGTCAATCTCATCAGCCTGCTTGTCGCCATGGAATAACCAACGCTTTGTCACACGTCGAGCAATATACCCAGTCTGAACATGCGAATACTTGCCAGCAATACAATTACACACACGATGCACCAAAAGAGAAAGTTGTCGAAATTGACCAACTGACAAAGATTCATCCTCGCACAATGTGGCATTAGCCACGAGCAGTGAAGCTTCTGTGAGAATTGTAGTGACAAATCGCTCGGGAACAAATGGATCAGATTTACTCCATACTTGTTCTTCTAGTTTCGCCATAAGTTTCTCTAATAGTCTAGAAACTGGGCAAGGATTTTTTGTCGCTTGAGGATGCGGTTGCAGAATGCTTGTAATTTCAAGACGGTCGCCAAGAAGGTCTTTTGCTACAGTTATACGTTTGACCCGAGCGAGTGCCTTTGCTTCGTCGCACTCAATATGAGTCTCAATCCCTTGGCTCTGCTGACTAGCGCCGCGTTCAGCTTCGGTTGAAGCTTTAATGGCAAAGTTGAGAGCATAATCTAAGCAGCTGAGTTTGTCCGATGAATCTAATCCATATTGATTCGAACACCACTCTGCGAGCTCTGCCACATCCGATGGGGCTCTCAATTGATTCAAAATCGGCATGACGTCTTCATCGAATGTCGGTAACGATGCACCCTCATTTTTTGATTTTTGAAATCTTGCAATCAGTGACCGAACACGAATATAACCTCGTGGTACACCTAGTGGGATGCATAGAGGAGAGAGTCCTGATGTGATAGCTGAGCTGCATGTGGACCGAAGAATTTTTTCCAATGGATCCAAAGGATCAAATGTATCTGGTTCAGGTTCTACCTCCCACCCCAGAACCCTACTACGAATCTTTTTAAATTTGAACTTTTCGTTTGAGTTATCATCAATTGACCCTTTCAATGGAGTGAAAAACATAGAGAAAGACGGACGTTCATCTTTCTTCTCGCCTTGAAAGTAGGACGACAAAATCGCGAGCGCATCTCGACGTCTATCGATGGCCTCAAGTTCTATGAGGAGATTGTCAAGCAATTCATTTTCTTCGTTGGTTTTTTTCGATATTACTGTTGATAATTCTGTTTGGTACAGCCCATAGATTACGCAAAGTCTCTCGTAGTCGACGCAATCGTCCTGCCCTTCCACCAGCATTAAACATTGGCGAAGAATTTTGATTCGTTCCGAGGCGCAAGTCAAATGATGAAGTAATCTTCGTACCGTATCGCTCAAACACGATACTTTGTTTTTGATAAACTGCCCATTATAAGCTTTGGAAGGAACCAGTAAATACTGGATGAAACGGCGAGCAGGTAAATCTTTTGGTAGTGAAAATGATTTTGCAAACTGAATTGCCAAGGATAGCGTGCAATCAATATCCCCGTCTTTCTTGGACATCTTGTTTGCAATTAAAGCTGGGATCATTGAGGCAACGTATGAATCCTCTGCGTGTTCAATTTCTACTCTCTCCTCAAAATTATGAGGGTTGAAGTTTACGTTGTTTTCCTCCAACACGTTCCACCAACTCGCTTTCATAGCTAGGCTATCGCACTGCGATACAAATTTACTCTGGCGGGTCCAATTTCCCAATTGTGCTCCAGTTGGAGACAGAATTGAGTTCTTCGATCCAGATACTTTCCCGATAGTAGCAAGAATTACAACTCTTGAAAAATCTCTTGTGCTTACTGCGGTGGGTAGTGAAGATCTGTAGATCTTGAAAGCAAGTTTCAGTGGCAACGACAACAAAAATGATGCTGCGAGTTGAGAATCTACGACCCCGCTTGTGATTCCGTTCCCTGTACCGCCTAGATACCGTTCCAATAAAGCTATACCAATTTGTTGGTTAAAGTCCTCAAGCTCGCTCAGGGCAATATCACTCTGTGGAAGACACAATTGCGTCGTAGTCGAATGAGATAAAATTCGAAGAGCCAACGCATGTGCACCTCGGTTAGCGACAAACGCATGAATACCCATCGATGGCTCGTCCATTAGTTGCAATCCCATGGATTGTTTGCAGTATTCGATCCCTTTTTTCAACGCTTCTTCTGGGGGAAGAAGTAGACCATCTCCAATATACCACGAAGGATGCAAGATGGGTTGGCTCACACGTAGACTCTCTCCTATTCCACTTCTAGTGATGTTATTTGAAAGAGCAAACGACCACCGTTTTTCTGCCGCCCTTTGAACTAACATCTTTCGAAAGTCATCTAATTGTTCCCCATATCCTTCATCCGCCCTTGCTAGAACCTGCGATACAATGTCACATAATTGAGAGAAATCTACTGCCACGCCAAGGATATCAATTGAACAACGAGAAAGAATGTAGTCTTGGATAAGCGATGAGGCCATCACAAGACCTTTCATAGTATCTAACAAGCAAGAACTGGATTTTTTGGACAATTTCATGCAATACGAAAGAGCCACTGAGAGGCAACATCGAGCAGCGAGATTACACTGTGAGGCTTCTAGAATCCGAAGGTCTGAAAGGAAATCAAAAGCCTCGAAGCCATTGGTTCGCAATGCTAATTGACATGCAACTGGATTTGCAGCCGTAAAAAGGAGATCCGATTCTGTCAACTGGGGGGGTCGTGAGAGAAGTGAGCATGCTCTTCTCGTTTTAGTAGCGATCGTACTGGCGGCATTGAATTCGCCTTTTGTGTACATAATACCGAGGTTGTTGAGAAGCTTTGACGCCATACCGATCATTACTTTTGAATCATTTAGATCAGCCAATGAAACAAAAATATTATGATCCTGTTGCAGTGCTATCAGTCGTTCAAGATCGAGGAAAAGACTTTGTAATCTGGATTCATTGAATTGTGAATTCGTAAATCCACTTCCAAAGTGGCTGCTAATAATCATCCCCGCATTTTCCAGTGCGATCATCGTCAAATCGTATGCACAGTTTGTGACAACCTTCGACTCCTTAAGACGCATAGAAGACTCTACTGACATGCTGCCGTCCGGAAATGGTCCGAGAAATGAGGAGTTCTCTTGAATGAGATCAATGCAAAATGAAATTACGCGAGAAAAAACACTATGCGCAGAGCTTGCATTCCGATCATACAAAGATTCGAGAATGCTTCGAGCCTTGTCTCGATGCCCTCTCAAAATCGTATTTTGAATGAGCCTGCCACATCCATCTTCAACTGAAAGGTGATGGAAAGCCTCGCAGAGGTCAAGGATGTCAGATAGAACGGAATCGTGATCCAAATGTTTCGAAACAAAATCTAATAGACTCGTTGCGTGAAAAGGGTTATCGACGTGAAAAAGTTCCTTCGCACCATTTCCACAGTAGCGACCAACAATGCCATCGATCAAAAGGAGACGAGAAGCCTCTTCTAATTCTGATCGAAGAGATGAATCTCCAGCGGACCATTCAATAGCATCTTTGCTCAAGTCTGTGAGCCAAACAGGAGAAAATCGACAGAACAGAGCTGCCTGGAGTGCAATTTTTGTGATTTGGCACTTGGCTGTAGAATTCAGACAGCATCGAGCCACAGAAGCAACTTCTTCTATCGCTTGAGAACTTGTGCTTTTGCCGCGACAAAGCTCTTTAGAATATTCCATTAGAGCTTCGTCATATTTGGCATGAGAAGCGGCACAAAATTTTTGAACCTCGTTCGTTAGACCATTATGCCGTTCCTCATGTGAACTCGCTGCAGAAGAATAGTGACGAGTGAGTTCTTTCGAAATATAACCCACCCCGCCCTGATCCTCAAAGTTGTAGAGACTCACTAGCTCGCGGCCCAAGCCAAGCGATCGGGCTAGTTTCAGCCATCGAGCAGTTTCAAGCTTTGTTTCGACACTTTCTTCATTTTCATCAATGGTGTCGACCCTCAGCGCATGAACCTGACCCAACCTTGCAGCACCCCCCTTCATGCGTCCAAACTCCAATATTGTTGGATTTGATCGCTCATTGTTGTTACTTGTGCGTGCTTTCTTCTTTGCGCGGCCGTTCAGGGAAAGTGAATCATCACTGGGATGGGAGACCAAAGATCTACTTTCAGTTCCAAAACTTGCATCCAAAGAGAGAATTCCACTCATTGACATGTTGTTATTATTGCGTTCTTTCATTGAAAACAGGCGACCTTTTTTGTTCGCACTGATTGTTCTATCCACAAATGGAGAGTAATATGCGAAGGAGGAATGGACCTTCAATCGAAGACGTTTTGTTGCGCGAACAATGGTCTCCAATAGAAATATTGATTTATTCAGTCCCTCTTCATTCTCGGCATCAAATTTGTCAGCCATTTGACATGCCCAATTCAAGATTGAGGGGATTAGTTCGTGGTTGATCGAAAGACTGGGTAGTACGATGCCATCAAGCAAATTGGCATATTTGCGAGGGTGAATCGTCGAAGGAATTTGAAGAATCGACGAAACCATGACTGCAGCGGTAATTTTCGACCGTAAAGTGGATCCCCACAACCTCTCTGCTTCAGAAAAGTTAGCATTTTGAATGAAAAAGAAGAATAGGTCATCAATGGAACCAATTGACGTGAATCGAGAGCTGATAACGGAATAATCCGTGTTATCGGAGAGAGGGTTTGTTTCCGACTTTCTGCTCTCCCGCAACGAATTGAGGTATGTGATTGCCGTCATTTTTTCTTCGAGTGCAAGAACCCTATTGTTATAGGTTGTGCTTATCCAAGTAGGAACGTCTTGATCAAAAAAGTCCTCAGAAGCATTTGTCATCATTTTTACAAATGAAGATAGATATGAACCCAATCTCTTTGTCATTGCTCCACAATCGGAGACCTTAAGTTTTGAATTGGAGGGCCAATGAAGAAGATAATCAGCAGCTTCCAAGAGAACTCGCTGTCCTTTTGTATTACCGGCACTTCTTTCAAGTCCAATCAATGATTCATACCAATCGTCGTCCAACAATTCTTCGTCCGAAGAAGGCATGGCAACACGTTCTAACGATTTAGAAAGAATTTGTCGAAGACGCTCGAGTACAATTTCGGCCGGATGGAATTGAGCAAACTTATCTCCAAGCAAAACTTCCATACCGTTTTCATGAACCAAAGCCCGAGCTCTATCAAATTCATTCTTTGTGATGAGGAGCCGGATAACCCCAATTGCCGAGCCATCGGTGCGGTATTCGTCCATTCTTCTCGTTTCAAACATGTGCATTTCTTCAATACGGTTCCATCCTAGAGAAGTCTTGGAACAAAAAGAATACGGACCATAGACGTTGGAATCAAGTGGACAAAGGCAAATAGACCGTGTTGGTGCCATCGTTGAAGGCATTTGGATTCGATAAACCATGTGAGCACGGCCAAACTGAAGTACCCCATCACTGTTGTTCTGAACGTGGGCTTGTAGGATTTGAATGTCGGGGGAACTTCCTCCCCCTGCTTCTTCCGCTGCAACAATCATTGCTATTGCCTCGTGAGAATTAAAGGCATGGGCAAATTCCAGTGCTTGAACACGAGACCGTTGATATCTTGTGGAGTGTTCATGTGTGACACCATCCTCCTTCAATGCGGCTACTAATGGGTACTCTTCCTTGATGGCGACAAAATTCGATACATCGGGGTCCGCAGATAATTGACCTTGCTGATGCATATCTTCCAAGTCGTTATCTGGATCTAACCATAGAATTTTGCTACATGCAAGCTGTTTTTGCTGAAGATTCTTTTCATGGTTCACTGTTTGGCAAGTTTTCGGATGCACTACCAAGGCTAGGACAAATCTACCAACAGTCGAAGTTAGCCGCAGACCAACGAAGGTGTCGATCTCCCAACTAGATCTGTCTGGAACGGAAAGATCTTTTTGACGAAGATGACACAGCTGGGTTCCGAGATCGTATTCAGCCAATGCCAATCTTTCCTCTCCGCTGAAATCTTGGTGGATCAACACCAAGCGGATTTTTTCACAATAAGAATCTTTAGTGTTCTGTTCATTTTTTTCATCATCATCTGATCCCGACGAGAAGAAATATCCACGCATACACTCCACATCAGCCGGTTGTATCGAAGGTATCTGGAGCACCTGTAAGTTCATGGATTTTGTAGCTTGTGTCACGACGGCATCATTGTCATCGTTTAGGCGATCGCCTTGGATATTTGAAACGAGGAGAGCAGGTTGGTTGGGGGTTTGTACCAAAAGAGCGTCCCTGACATTGTCCAACTTTTTATTTGACGACGCTTTCTGTGTCACAAAGGACACCTCGGGTGCCATTTCCAACAGAGAACAAGAGGAGTTCATTGTTATGTTATCATCTTCCGTTGTTGTTTCTGCCACTTTTCGGGTAGCCAATATGCGCCCATCGTGTCCGCGGATGATGCTAACAGTCCCATTGTCGGTAGTCGCCGCAATGATTGTTCCGGACTCATTGGATGCAATCTGATGAATTCGATGAGGTGCCAGGGAGGTTTTCCACCGGAACCTCCATTCTGATTGTGATCGGCTGCCGCTTTGTTTACTGCTAGAAACATTATCTATTCCGTCGTGGTTCCTGGTAACGCAACCCCCCTCTTTTGCTTCTGCAATGCCATAGACCCAGGACACATTGGCCACCGCATGTGGTGTTATGGATGTTCTGCTTTTGTTGTGAAATCGTTGCTGTAAGGACGTTGCGAGACCAGCATCCGAAGAAGAATTGTTCCCATCATCACCAACATCATCAGCAACTGTTTCATCCCACCCCGACACGAACTCGCTAGCACTTGTAGCAGCTGAATGACGCCCTGATGTTTCTATTGCTTCGTCTTCGCTGCTGTTGCTGCTGCTGCATCTGCCACCAATACCACGACATTGCTGTTGGTGATAGTTTCGCAATGCCTCTATCAGATCAATCTTCCGAATCGATGACGGCATGGCCTCGGCTTGTGTCCTTGAACGGAGTAGTCTTGATCCTGTTTACTCTCGGTGTGAGAATAGGACAAAGTTGCTTTGCATTTCCTTTGCTGACGAAACCACTTTCCAGATTTGCCTTCGTTCACAGTTTGGTTGGTATGGTTCCTCAAAGACGATTACTCATATTTTTTGTCGCGCAGTTAAATTCCGAACTACCGTACGAACGAGTACTACTCGAAATCATCGTAATCTACGTTGAGTACGAAACCTTCGGACCAGCTCCAACTTTTTTTAAATTTCTTCTGGGTCTGCTTTCCTCCAATCAGCTCTTCCCCCGAATGAAAACGCAGAAAAACCGCTTCGTCCCTAAAATAAATTAATAAGCACTCATCCCCCAAAGAAAAATCAAATTTTGAAAATTGAAAACACGAGCCTACTTGCGCCAGCGCTCCAACCGTTGCGACCCAAAATATTTAGAGATTTGGACCTCACCGGCGCATTTTGAGTCGCTTTCGTCTGCTGGCCTTCGATGTGTTGTTTCGCGGGTGATTTTAGCGTGGAGTTTGGTGCGTTAAATTGCCAAAAAATTGTCAGAATACCTCGTTGTTTTCTGTTGTGGCGTGTGAGCTTCCCTGCGGCATGGAGATGCTGTAGTTGCCAGGAAACATACTGGAGATATCCTCGATGTCCGACAAAATCGAATATCAAAGTACCATCTTTTGAGCCTATTGCTATCCATCTTATAAGAGTTTCCTGTTCTTCATTTAAGGCGACGGCTTAGTCCAGGGAAAAGGATCAAGGGAAAAGATAGACACACGGGCACACGGCTATCTCGAGCCTGTCGTATCCATTCACTAATCGCCCCTGTAGGACGCCTCGTACTGCTTATTCTATCGTGCAACCAAGTAAAATAAAATCGCACGAATTTTGAATTTGAAAAACCACCAATCAACGCTTGTACGGTAGAAACAGCTACTTAATCCAACTCGGTACAAGTCGAGGTTAGGCACGAAGTTAGCTTGTGAACTATTTCATCAGTATATCACCAGCCTTTACCAAGTACTATGACAGATCAATCAACGAAAGCAAAACCTGGAGATACACCTGCTACCACAGATGCTCCTTTACCTGGAGATCAATGTGCGAGTACAGCGGCAGTCGCGGCTGAAGAATCTGTCGCTTCGGAGACCATCCCCAAACCGGATGCCGGGCCTACCTCGACGGCCACAGGCAACAGTGCCGTGTCTACAGCTTCGAGCGTTGTTTCAAGCACCTCTGATGCCGTAAGCACGACGAAGACTTCTGCTGCCGCGGCAGTAGCAGGGGTGCCTCCGCCAGCAAAATCTACTCCCCCTAGCACCACAAAGTACGCACATCCTATCCCCTCAAAAGGAGCACCCCATCTACCGCACGTTCCGATGCACCATCCTTACGCCCATCACCACTACTACGCTTACCACCAGCACATTGCGGCAGCCAACGCTAGCGCTGCCGACCCGAAGAAGAGTGGGGGCACCAAAAAGCCAACCAATCCAAATTCCGTCCCTGTCCCCCCTTACAACCCTGCAAAATACATGAAACCAGGAGCGGGAGGCGAGTCGGCTGCCGCTAGAGGGAAACAAGCCGGGCCTCCTCCGATGTATCCACCGCCGCCGCCTCACCACCATGCCTATCATGCGTGGGCAGCGTACCGGTATGCGCAGCAACACGCTCAATATCACGGGGGACCCCCGCCGCCCCCGCCACCGGGTCCGCCACCACCATGGAACGCAGAGTCCTACGCCGCCGCACACCAAGCTTATGCGGCAGCCGCCTCCCAGGCTGCTGTCGGCGGTGCAAAGGGGAACAAGAACAAAGGGTCACCGGGCGAAAAGGGGGCTGCTGCAACGGGTGCAACAAGTGCTCCTCTGATTCCTCCACCACAACCACATCCTCCTATATTTCCTCCTCCGCCATCCCACGCAGGACCGTATCGATTTTCTGATTGCACTCTGAGACGAGAGGCTCTCGCACGCAGTGTAGCAGAGAATGTAGCCAAGAAAAAAAACAAGTACCCAACTCCCGGTACCTCTTCTAATAATTCATCCCCTTCATCATCGATACCGCCTCATAGCACCATACCCAGCAGTCCTCCGACGCCTGTATCTTCTCTTCCGAAGAATGGTCCTGTTGGTGGTGCCATGATGGTAGTTGCTAACCAGAATTCCCCGGATGCTGCTACATTGCACATGCTAGAACTGGAAGCACGGGCCGAAGGAGCCACGTCTCCTTCTCAAATCGAGGACTTTCACAAAGAAGAAGTAGCAACCATGGGGTGCACCTGTAAAAAAACCAAGTGCCTCAAACTATATTGTCAGTGCTTTGCCGTGAAGATTTATTGCGGTGCAAATTGTCGGTGTATGTCATGCAACAACAATCCCGAACATGAGAGCGAACGACAAGATGCTATTGGGACTATTCTGGCTCGAAATCCTGCAGCCTTTGACACGAAATTTCAGAAGAACAACCGAAAATTTGGGACCGGTATGGTGGGACCGGGCGCTCTCATGGCGGTTGGGGGAGCTAGAGGGCCCCAATCGGGGATTTTAAGTACCATGGACATTCCCCACCAGAGAACAATATCACACAAGGTTGGGTGCAAGTGCCGCAAGTCAGCATGCATGAAAAAATACTGCGAGTGTTATGCCTCAAATGTCAAATGTTCAGCTACTTGCCGTTGTGTGGGTTGCAAAAACCAGCCCCTGGGTGGTTTTGGACCTCCCCCGAGTACCAACAACGCAGCTACAACGCAAGCTCCAAGTGCCAAAACAACACCTACAAAGAATGTCATTACTACGCCCGTAAAGAAAGAACCTGCGTGGATGATGAATGCGGCTCACAACCTGGTAAGTATAACTCTTTGATATTGGTGTGTCTGTTTTTCTAGTTTGTAGCTATCGAATTTCGACTGAAAGCACTAACTTGTTACCCGTTGCCATGTCATTGATTTATCCCCATTTCATTTCAGGCGTTTTTGAAACATGGATCTGCGGAGAAGCCGAAGAGGATAATATCAAGAGCTCCGTCAGAATCGGGATCTATGCCATCCAATGAATCCTCTTCAGAAGAATCACCTGTTGCTGGGAGTAGCAAGATACGGACGGTTCAAAATAGCAATAGAGGCATGCCAATTCCGAGCACAGCGGAACGAGCTGCCGTCAATGCCCTTCAATCATCTGAAAAGACTGCCGTCAACGCTCTATTAATGGCAGCAATGGCTATGACAGAAATGTCAGGGCAGGACCAAACAGGAAACCATACTTCGGGCACATCATCTGCGGCCACTACACCACCACTCAACAACCTAGCGAATAACAATAATCGCCATTACTCACCGGAAGGAACAGTTCGTGGAGCGGACGACCACTTTGAGACGCCACAAAGAAACCTTCTAAAGAAATTCATGTCACCGAAACGAAAAGTAAGCGATAGAAACGCGGAAACTATTCCTTCGACTAAGAACACCAACTCGGACGATCACGTCGAGTCGCGAAATCTTGAATACTCTGATGCTTACCAAAATGGGGATGAAGACTCTCCAAAACGCGAACACCCGGGGGATGGTACTCCAAGCTTACTTCAGAAGGTGAAACGTAGTAGATTGGGATCTTTGAAAAAGGGGGCTCGTCTTTTGGAAAGGGTAAAATCCAACGGCGATCAGCACGTAACGGAGACAACGACAACCGAAACAAATAGCGAGGTGCTGCCAATGGAGATGGCAACACCAGCGAAAGAAAAGGGTGCGAAAATAGCAGCTCTGACTCCAGTGTCTGCTCGTTGTATTGATTTCAAGAATATGCGGGTCAATGATTCAAGTAGCGACCGTGCTGTTGTAGATTCCATCAACTAACAATTTCAAAACGTGCAGGGTTAATTAAACTATGAAGCGATAGACTACTCAACTGACTCCTTCTACATAGCAATGTTTCAAATATGCCATCAGAGGCAGAGCAGAAAGCAAGAGGACGAAGAATATATTTTCAATGAGGACACTGAGTCTTTGTAGCTTGTACTTCCAGCCATCGGATGAACACAAGTGAAACGAACTCAACTCCGTTGGAAAATCAAGATGTCGTCTACTCCGTGAGACCTGATTATTTTTGAATAAGGTAGAAAATGATTAGACAAGAAGAACCTACGTAATGATTATTCCTGTCTATTTCAGATAGAGCTGAATTTTTGTAAAGCAGAAGGTTTCTTGAAACCAAATCAAAAACTTTCTACCAATATCACTATAGTCCAAGCATACCACTCATTCCTGCCGAGTATGCCATTGGCTTTACATCGGGATGAGGAACAGATTCAAATTGAGTGAATTTGGGTTGCAGAGTCTTGTCAAAATGGATGAAAGCTCCCTTGTTGCCCATGGTATCGCAGTAGTTTGGAGCTGAAAACACAGTTATTGTCTTCCCACCATGTTCCAACAGGTATCCTTCCTCTTTGACCTCGTGGGAGMGAACCAAAAGGGAGAGGTTGTTCCGCTCAAGGAAATTACTTGTAATATCTGGGCCAAACGCAAAGCCAACACCGCGTTTCGACGGACTCTTTCCGGGAAACGGTTGGGGGTCAGACCAGAGCAAATCGCTCATGAGACTAGTCTCGGGCGGCTCACAACCCCTTTTGATCTTTCGGATGTCATCTAGCATAAATTTTTCGTCCGTAGATATTCCACCGTGCGCGATAAAGACTTTCTTGCCGATAACAGTGGCTAGTGGCAAAAAGGAAAAGACTTCCAAAAAGAGATCAAAAATCTTATCATCGTATTTGGCCTTAACTTCCCCCTCGAAGCCATAAATTTTGTTCATGTTTTTTGTTTCGTGGTTTCCTCGTGTCAAGTAAATGCAACCAGGATCATGAATCTTCCACAAAAGATAGGTAAGTATGACTTCTACCGAAAAGGATCCACGATCGACAAAGTCCCCATTGAACACGTATGGATTCGTAGCAGCGGGATAGCCATTCTTATCCTCGAAAATATTCAGTACGTCGTAATATTGACCATGCGTGTCACCACAAACTGTTACTCGAGGTGCTGTGGTAGGGTCGTGTTCCGGTGGTTCAGTTGGAACTTCGATCTCAGTGAGGGAACTCACAGATTCAAAGTACTTTTTGCAACTCAGCAAAAGGCGAGCCACGTATCGCTTGTGAATGAGCTTTTGATTTTTGAAGTGCTCCATTGCAGCCTAGGTAGCAACATTACATATTGTTAAAGGACATAATTATTGATCAAGCGAGTCAACGAGAAAGAATCAGGGAGGGTCGAAAAGAAAGGAGATCGAATGGATTCGATCAAAATCAAAAGATCAGTCCGTAGCATGAAGCAGGCATATATTCAGATCGCTCGGGTTTCATAGCCCGTCTCAAACGAACACCAACTCGAAAGATTTACTCACCAAGACGAATTCTCTCGGAAGCTTCCCTGGTATAAATAACGAAGCTTCTAGCTCCATATCGTCGGTAACACCCGACACAACAGGGTTTGGTCCATCGTACGCATCAGGACTGATGACGATCGAATTTGGATCATAACTATCAGATAATGGCACTGTCATCTCGCTTTCGATAGCTTTCCGAAAGGCTTCTTCTCGAATAGCCTTTTCGCAGGCTTTAAGCTTCGCACGGGCGTCCTTAGACTTCGGATTCAACACACATACGGTGCGAAAGTCTTTTTTGGCATCTTTCAAATGACCAAGGGCAAACTGTGACGAACCTCTCCGATAGTATGCTTTAGCATAGTTTGGATCTGATTCTAGTGCAGCGCTGGCATCGGCCATGGCCAGTCCATAGTTTTCCACCTTGATGTAGGCCTGAGCTCGATTCGACAAAATGATAGCGTTGGTTGGGCTATACTCCAACGCCTCTGTATAAAAGCCAATGGCCTGCAGAAAGTGCCCTATTTTCAGTTGGTCATTGCCCTGGTTTTTTAGATCAAGCGCCTTGCTTTCGTTCGCTGAGATGCCATCCTGTTCAATATTTTTGTCGTCGGTCGACATGTTAAGATGGAGCAGAAATTTGGTAAGATTAACTTCGGCGGTTTCTTTGACTGAAATCACTTGTCTCTACTGGTATGTCTCGTTATCGACGCAACTGTATTCGATGGCAAGGACACTGCTTCGTTTCTATCCCAGCATGAAAATAAATCAAGGCGCTAGAGAAGATTGAAGACGTCAAAAGATTGACGACACGATGTGGCGTGATGTGAAGATCGATTGAAAGCGAAGTGTTTCGTCTTCAAACTAGTTGTATTTCGCTCTTTTTTAGTTACGGAAAAGTACCTGTACTAACTCGTACCAAATTATCTGTTGGTTCGAGTGGAACGAGTAGTACTGGTACGAATACGTCCTAGGTACTAGCCTAGTTCGAAAAAGAGAGCGTACGGTACGGTACAACTGGTACTAGTTCATACTGACATCATTTTATTTTTCGTTTCGTTGACCGGGAAGAGAAGCTTGTGGTTATGATTCCTTTAGTGATATTCGTGATTGAATGGAGTCCATACAAATTAAGTACTTTCATGAGCAGTAAACAACAACAACTACTACTAGTACTAGTACTAGTACTACTAGATGCATGTTGAGTGCACCAAGAGAGGAAATATGAAACACCACAAATCAGCAGTCTCCAATTTATGAATTTTCTCACTGCACTCACATTTATAACTCACTCTGAAGCCACTTGTAGAAAGCAATTTACAACTGCTGTTTTTTTGCTTGTTCCTCTTCCTCTTGGCTGAGCATGTACATCACAATGGAATGCAGTACACCTTGTACAAGAAGAATTTCATGACTTTGAATCAATATTCAGAACTTCAAATTAAAACTTTGTTTGTCTCATCATTACTGTATGTAATTGTTATGTTATCAGTAGTCTTTTGCTCATACTAGTAGTAAGAATAACAGATTTTGAAATACCAGTAGGAAGGAGGAGATGTGCTCAACTTGTTTGCCATGCACTATTTTTGGTAACCCACATGTAGTAACCTACTAGGCTTCAGTGCCAGTATGTTATTTTATAGTACTTGCTACTTAAAATTTCCATTATATGTATGATTTTTCAAACAACCCTTCAATAATTTGCACAGAGCTCAACAATTTTGTCTCCCATCATGCTTAAAATACAATTTGATTTTGAATTGTATCATAGTACTAGGCTTGGCCAAGCAAACAAGATGATCCATTTGTACATTAGCAATGTTGTATATCCCTACACAAACATCAATAAATACCACTGGGACCCCCCAACTCCCCCATATGACTAGTAGAATCCTGTTCAAATGTGCTGTACTAAATTCATGTGCCTACCATACTTTAGCGTCCATTGGGGGCCAAGATATAGATGTTCAAGTGAGTTGATCTTTATTAGAAAATTCAAAATTCAACACTACTGAGCATGTGTGTTATGGACATATCATTGAGTTTTTTAGTGAAAATTACTCAAAAGTCAAAAATCAGAACTGCATTGTACATTGGGGAGTCAACTCTAGTAGTGTATACAAGTTGGCCACAAACTGGTGTTACTAGTATTATTATTTATTATGCAACATTTATTAGAACTAATAGCAATATTTAAAAAAAAAATCTTAATATTATATTTAATGTCCTGAACTAGAAGAGATGCTAGTAGTACTATGTGGGTCAGAACCAATCCTTCTCCTAACTAGGGAGGAAAATTCTCCTAGCTAGCTGGCTGCTTGGAGGGGCACCACCTCCCTCCAAGGAGATTTTGTGGAGACTTAACCAGGTTCTATGCATACTACTGACAAGCCAATTAAGGCAGGTTGCTGGCCTCAGGACACAGAGATATTATTGGTTCACAGTTAGGATGAAAGAGAAGTATGCCATAATTATTTCAGAGTGCACTGCAAAGAAGAAAAGGCAATACCCTCCTCCGCAGTAGTAATCAAGGAAAACAAGTGCCAAGCACACTGCCAATCCAATGAAGGCAAGATAATCTGAAGTGTAAAAGGACACAGAGGATGGAGTAGTCGTCATTAAAAATCAAAAAAGAAAAGCCAAAAAGAAAAATGCAGCAAACTAATCAACTTGGTGGTACTATTGTTGGAGTCAGTCCCAAGTACTTTGTAGATGACGGTTGCAATGTGGATGTGTAGAGGTGCTGATGGAGGCTTGGGTTGTTGCTGTTGTTGTTCAATACGGATGTCAGGAACAATAACTTCTTAAAAGACCAGAAGAAGATACTTCTGATGGGAAAGAACTGGGGATGGAGCCAGTTGAGGCAAACTACAAGCAGCTTGTGGTGATACTGGAATGATTCTGATCTCACCAGTAATATGGGTTGTTGTTGCTGACCAACACAATTGCTGGAAACAACAACACACTAGTGACCAGAAGACACTGCTTTTGGTCCTTGAATAATACTGGAACAACTGACACACAGAGCTAAGGCTGATGATGAACATTTTTTGTAAACTAAGTATGCAGCCTATACTCCAGGCATTGTTCTTCAAAGGAAAGATCTTGGTTGAAAACAAAAGAATCAATTTACACCTCAATTCTTTGTCCAGAATGCTCCAAGGAGCACATTGTATTATTCTCAAGCACAACTCTGAAATACTTCTTATCTGAGCTCAATTAACACTCTGTTGCTGTCATTTCACTGTGATTTACAAAGCAACAAACTACTAGTATCAAATATGGTCACATAATATATTTATAATTTATTCCTTCTTGTTCTTCAAAGTACTTCTAATTATTTTGTCTTTATCACCACCAGTAGCACATAGTAGTAATTGTCTGACACAAGCATCTGTGTATTAGGGTGTCTCGTTCTTTCTGTTAAGAAAAATCTTCTCTCTTGTTCTCTTCAATAGTGAAATACAGCTATTGGTGATTTATTGCTAATACTGCTGTCTGAACAAAATTATGCTGGTTATATTTTGGGAGTTCTTCCATCTTGACCTCCAGCAATGGCAATCATTTTCTAAGTGAAAAAAGATATCATGGGGTCCAGAACCCCACTACTAGTAACCAGACGCACATGAATGGCTGTTTTCAATTTGTTCCTCAACAAGTAATTTTTTAGTCAGTAATTGATAATTCATGTCTTCCTTGTTGAATTTCATTGTAGCATTTTTGTTTCATCATATCAAGTGTATTTCATGTTTTAGATCTGATTCTACTAGCTATTAGGCCAAATATTATATCAATTCTATTGCTGGAAAAGAGCAAAATACATTTTGGTTTGTACCATTGAAATCCATATTTTAATCATTGTGTCTTCTTGTCAATACTGCCCTCCTAGTATTTTGGGTCTTTCTCTTTCAATGCGAAAAGCTACTACTAGTATCTGTACTCATTCCTGTGAGTATCATCTTCAAACTCTTATGCACACCCATTCAAATGTATTTAATGTAGTACTAGTAGTAGTATTACTAGAAATTATATTGTTTTGGAATTGTTTGACAGTCAATAAGTAGATGCATTCACAACTCACTGTCTATCTCCTCTTATTGAAACAAAATGCAAATTGAAATAATTTTCTCTTCTACTACACAGTTGTGAAGTCTATGATGATAGTATCATCAAACATGAATTTCACCTATAAGAATATCTCAAGGATAGGAAATCTTGTTTTCAGCAAAAATTGAATCCTCAATTTTTCAAAAATTTCTAGTAGACAATATTAAATTTTCTTGATTTTGAGCCTGGTGAAACCATGGCATTGTTGGAGCATATCTACTACTACTAGTAAACCCACAATTTCTGGTTTTATTGTACCATCTCTTAGCCTATGACAACTATTAAGTTTGACCATTGATGACCTTCAGAAGGAAAATCTATATTTTCAAAATGTTGGCTTTTCACATTTTCACATTTTAAATATAGTATAGCGTGAGCCAAGCAAAAAAAGACAGTTTAAACCATACATT